TCACAGGAATGCCTTCGTGCCCTGGATGCAAGGCTGTCACAACACCTCACACCAAAGGTCAATATTCATGGACAGGTAAAATCTTCTTTTAATTTGATAAACTAAGCTTGGCCCAAGTGAAGAAACAACCGTGAAACAGCCCAGGTAATGAGGGTCTCTGGTTTAGAACACACTGCAACGTTACCAAGTTCAAAGAGAACAAAAACTAAACCAAACCGCTGTACTGACGGCTGATGTGAGAGGGCAAATAACATAACAGGAACGTCCTTCAGCACAGGCACTGGCTGGGCTGTGGGAGAGACCTGGAGAGCTGCAAGTCCTGTTGGGAAAGGGAACAGGGAGGCATCGCTTCTCCCAACACAAAAATTAAGAGGAACAAAATAAATTTTTTGGCAGGAGGTGCAAAACAAAGCAAACCAAGGTTTCTCCCAGGAAGTGTGGAAGAGGGCCAAGGAATTCAATCGCGTTAGAGGCCTAAACAAGTTACAGAAGCGAAGAACTTCCTCGGAGGAAATTCATTTGGGGTTATTAAGTACAAAGACAGGAGGGCAACCTCTGGGACAAGGAGTTCCATGCACAAGGGAAATGGAAGCACTGGATGCACTGGTGTGTGCCTGACCGGGATTCATCTTCTTTTCCTAAATGCCTGCTCCTTCTCCAGGACCACTCAGGTCTAGAAAAGAGCAACCAGGTTTTTGTTTGTGACCCACTGTGAAAGCTGCACTCCTGTACAACTCGGTGGCCTGGTGTAACTCAGCCGGCGTCACTGCACTCGAGAGGAACTTGGCACTGGGGCGGGTGAATCAGAGGGGTAACTGTCAACCCTGGGGGGTGTGGGTGGGTGTGCAGAACACATTCCTCCAGCAACTCCACAAGCTGGGTACTCGGCACGGGCGGAGGCTTGACAAAAGCTGGGCAATGGGCCAGCTGCGCCTGACCATTGCTCTCAGAAATACCCTTCCCTAACTGCACCCTGGAGAGGGGATGACTCCGCTGCAGAAAGGGAAAGACTCCGCTGTGGCTGCAAGACTCGGATGAGTTGGGAAGAAGCTGAGAATGACATCATCAGGCATTTTGGGGCTCTCTGATGACAGGATGTGCGAGGCTACTCGGTGACTTTGCACACACACTTCCCCTACCCCAGTCGAAGCTGTGTTTGGAAGACTGTGACCTGGAATGAAGTTTGAATCCTCATTTTAATTCCAGGAGAAGGAGCAACACATTCCTGGAGGTGGTGAGGGATGCAAGGAGGCATGCAAGCAGCCCACAAGCCCAGCCACAGGATTACGAAGGTGCAGAAGAAGGAGCATCCACGTTGTTCAGTAACACGCGTTACCATTTTTTAACAGGGCAGCAAACAGGAAAAAAATAAATCCCCCCTCCCTTCTGTTTGCATCCTTAGTTAAAATACTGAAAAGAGGCGTACTTACAGGGAGGTCTGTAAAGGCTATACCTGTGGGGGGAAAAATATTAGAATTAAAAAGACAAAGGACTTTTTTCCCTGCTCAGCTACACCCTTAACATCCTACAAAAGCGTTACTGTGCTGCACTAAATCCCCGCTCTGACCCTGCGTTTCTCCAGCTGTCAGATTTGAAGTAATTTCCCTCCCCAGTCCCCTGCTCTGCAAGGTTTTGCATCTGGAGAAAGGTTCAGGGGAAAAGCCTGAATGTTTTGGATATCTCTCCCAGAAATCGGGGTTTTCTAAAAAGTAGTTCCTCTTTTCTTTGCTTCTCCCGTTATTATGAAGGAGTTGGTTTTCAAGACTCGCTGTGGCTTTAGAACCAGAGTTTGACTGTAAGGTTGCTTGGGTTTAGGCTGTACCTGCTCCTGCTTACAGCTGGGGAACAGCCTCACGGCATGACTAAGCTGCAGCCGGGAGCACCTGAGAACACCCTTGCAAGGAGCAGCTCCATCCTCAGCTGCACTGCTACAGCACCAAATGAGGGATGGGAAAACAGGGCACGGTTTCCCTTTCCATTTATATTTGGTGTGCCAGGAAAGGGAGGTCTCCTCAAGTGGAGGCAGTTGCCACCTAGGATCACTGTGGCCAGGGACAAAGCTCTGCTGCGGAGGCGCTCGTTGCAGCTCTGCAATGCTTGGCAGCTGATTTCAATGGGACTACCCCTCAGAAGGGTGGTCCTCTCCTCCCTCTCCTGCCGTATGCGTCCTCGCACCTGCCGCAGGTGAGACCCAGCAGATGGGCAGCAGCGCGATGAGATGGATCAGCCAACAGCTCCAGCCCAGGGGTTTTGCATCCCCCTCACTGACAGCACAGGGGAAACTGCTGCCGTGACCTGTTCACCTTTGCAGGCTCAGCTTAGCTCATGCTTTAAGCTAAGATTTCAGGAGTCAATCAGGAAGCTGCCAGCCCTGCCCCAGGCGTGCTCCCAGCAATATTTTCTGTCCCCAGCCAGAAGAAGGCCAGCATCCACACCAGTACGCCCCGTTCCCACCTCTAAGCCACGTGGTGGTGCCTTCTGGGGGGCAGTGAAGCAGCTGCATGGAAGCAAAAGCACGTCATTCTCTGCTTTTAATGTTTAGGAGCGCCCTAACCAAGAGCTGCAATGTAACGTTGCCAGATCGGCCTGAAATGGTAATGTAAGACAATTTTAGGAGTCAACATAGGAAGCAAATAACGACTGTTCGACACAGCGCAGATCCAAGATCAAATGCTCGGAAAAAAATCCTGAATATTTTACTAAATAAATGGCCAGTAAGGTTTAATTAACACCCTGGTGGACAGCCAATGAGGTTTAATTAACACCACAACAGTTTTGACCTTGTCCATTGAGCACCCACTCTACAGCCCAACCAAAAATTGCACATACAGGCAACGCTGAACACCTGGCTGAGCATTCAGTAAGCCTTGCTCTGACCCCAGCACCTTCCCCAATCTTGTTCCTCACTCAGACCTGTTGTCCACTTCACACTTGTTTTGGTCATCTGGATGAAAGCTTCCTTCCACCCTTACAGCAGAATGAGCCAACCTCCTTCAGCCTGCAGCCCACTGGGGTCCTCCTCTGCCACCCAGAACCAAGGGTGGCCTGGCTTTCCCCTGCCGACTTGTGTAGCTGTGTGGCTGGGAGCTGCATGCAGCACATGAGCAAGTATGCACCTTTTGAGTGGACTACAAGGTGGGTGGAAAGTTGAGTGGGCCATCAGGATCAGGTTGTGATCAGCAGCTCGAAGACCAAGTGTTGCCCCTCCAGGATCAATGGTAGAGCCAGTACAGTTTGATGTCTCTGTTAATGACCTGGATGATGGGACAGCATGCGCTCTCAGCAGGTTCACAGATGCTACCGAACAGGACAGTGGACAACATGCTAGAGGGCTACTGCTGTTCAGAAGGACCTCAACAGGCTGGAGAAATGATCCAGCACAAACCTTGTCAACAGAGTTAAATCCAGTGGGTGGCCAGTCACAAGCGGCGTCCCCCAGGGCTCAGTTCTAGGGTTGGTCTTGTTTAACATCTTTATCAACGGCCTGGACGAGGGGATCAAGGGCACCCTTGGTCAGTTTGCAGATGACACTGAGCTGTGCAGGAGTGTGGGATCTACTGGAGAGGAGGAGGGCTCTGCAGAGGGACCTGGCTAGGCTGGATCCATGGGCCCAGGCCAAGGGTATGAGGTTCAACAAGGCCAAGGGCTGGGTCCTGCCCTGGGGTCATAACAACCCCACGCAACGCTACAGGCGTGGGGAAGAGTGGCTGGGAAGCTATGTGGCAGAAAAGGACCTGGGGGTGTTGGTTGACAGGCGGCTGAATATGAGCCAGCAGTGTGCCCAGGTGGCCAAGAGGGCCAGCGGCATCCTGGCTTGTATCAGGACTGGTGTGGCCAGCAGGAGCAGGGCAGTGACCGTGCCCCTGTGCTGGGCACTGGTGAGGCCGCCCCTGGA